GAGTGGATTAAGAGTGACAAAGGACGAAGAGAGATGGAACTGAAACGGAAAATAGGGGAGTGTAGCAGAGTGTAAACAATAACAAGTAGGGGAGTGTGGCAAAGTGTAAACAATAACAAGAAGGAATTTTAGCAGAGTATTAACAATAATAAATAGGGGAGTGTAGCAAAGTGTAAACAATAACACAAAGGAAGTTTAGCAGCGTGTAAACAATAACAAATAGGAGAGTGTAGCAGAGTGTGAACAATAACAAAAAGAAAGTCTAGTAGGGTGTGAAAAATAACAAATAGGAAAGTGTAGCAGAGTGTAAACAATATCAAGAAAGGAATTTAGTAGAGTGTAAACAATAACAAATAGGGGACTGTAGCAGAGTGTGAACAATAACAAGAAGGACGTTTAGTAGAGTGTAAACAATAACAAATATGGGACTGTAACAGAGTGTAAACAATAACAAGAAGGAAGTTTAGTAAAATCTAAACAATAACAAATAGGAAAGTGCAGCAGAGTGAGAACAATAACAAGAAGGAAGTTTGGTAGACTGTGAACAATAACAAATAGGGGAGTGTAGCAGAGTGTGAACAATAACAAGAAGGAAGTTTAGTAGAGTGTGAACAATAACAAATAGGGGAGTGTAGCAGAGCGTGAACAATTACAAGAAGAAAGTTTAGAAGAGTGTGAACAATAACAAAAAGGAAGTTTAGCAGATTGTAAACAATAACAAGAAAGAAATTTAGTAGAGTGTAAACAATAACAAATAGGGGACTGTAGCAGAGTGTGAACAATAACAAGAAGGAAGTTTAGTAGAGTGGAACAATAACAAGAAGGAAGTTTAGTAGAGTGTGAACAATAACAAATAGGGGAGTGCAGCAGAGTATGGACAATAACAAGAAGGAAGTTTAATAGAGTGAATAATAACAAGAAGGAAGTTTAGTAGAGTGTAAACAATAACAAATAGGGGAGTGCAGCAGAGTATTAACAATAACAAGAAGGAAGTGTAGTAGAGTGTAAACAAAAACAATAAGGAAGTTTAGTAAATTGTGAACAATAACAAATAGGGGAGTGCAGCAAAGTGTGAACAATAACAAATAGGGGATTGTAGCAGAGTGTGAACAATAACAAGAAAGGAGTTTAGTAGAGTGTGAAAAATAACAAGAAGGAAGTTGAGTAGAGTGTGAACAATAACAAGAAGGAAGGTTAGTGGAGTGTAAACAATAACAAATAGGAGAGTGCAGCGGAGTGTAAACAATAACAAATAGGGGACTTCAGCAGAGTGTAAACATTAACAGGTTTGACCAACTCTGTGCAACTGATTAGATACTGTTATAAACTAACAACAAAAATTTTGTTTAAAACAATTCTTATAAGCCGCTGCAGTGGTCAAATAAAATTGCAAAGAATTCCCTCCCTTTAGTAAAACGTATATAAAACGTTACTATTTACTATTGTAGACTCTAGATTAAATAATTTAATAGTAATAATTAAATAATCATATAGTGAAATAGAATATTTCTATTTCTAGTCTAAACAGTCTACGGTTTTCTTATATCACGTGATGCAGTGATTTGATTGGATTACAGGGCAATGAATACAACCAATCAGAGAATCCCATCGGAAAAATGCAAATACTTAATGTTTACAGGCTTTCTGTCGAGGGCTGTGATTGCCTATATTCTCTAGAATTTACAAACTTCTGTAACACAAGAAAGGTGGCTTTTGAAGTCAAGTTATAAGATGAAATTCGTAATAGCTCAACAGTGTGAAGATTGACCAAGGATTACTTACAGTACCAGGCATTTAAGATCTTTAGGATTAGTGTCAGTCCAAACTAATAGTCTGACCCCTTCATAGAAACACCACTGACGAACTTGCATCAATTAAATAATTAAAATTAATCAGTATTTTGAAATGGTTTATTCAAATTTTCAACGAAAGAAGATACAATGAGATTCAGGCTTGAGCTTGCAGTATATATCCAACACAATTTATTTGTAATGTTTCAAGGTACGAGCTGAAGGGTCGGATGTTTCACACCATTTCGGCATCCAGAAATAGGGAATCCATTTTGATTTGTTGGGGAAACGACTTTCGAAGATTTTTCTATAATAATATGCTTCTTTAGTTTTTGGTGTGTTGAATGGATAAAGTGTAGCTGCTTGTTCCAGTTCATCCTCGTTCACCTGAAAAATAAAGTTGAAAAATATTGATATGATACTCTTTTGTCCCAAAATATTTGCCAGAAGGCACCAAATCATTCATACCTCCAGTCCCGGGAGGATGGCGCCGCCACTGCTAATATAAAGCTCTAAATCACAGTTATTTGGTACGGTGCAATTCGACATTATTGGTGCAACAAGATGGCTCTCTGAGGGTCCAATCTTTGTCGAGAGTATAAAAAAAAAACATTCAGAACTTAAAAAACAGTGTTTGTAAGAGTTACTTCCCTTCTAGTGAGATACAATTGCTTTCCCCTTCCTGTCACGTGACAGACGGTTGGATTGCTTTTGAGAATAAGTTTTGGTGAAATAATATTTTGTAATACCGCGATGTAATGTATATGGACGCAAAGATCCTGAAGCCGAATCAATGATGCATTTATTGGAGGATCAGTTGAGATTGAACTGAAGTCTGCTTAATAGAAACTCAACTTAACTAGAAATGAAATGGAGTTTTACGCCCTACTTTTCTACACCATCAACTTGGGTTAAACCAATTTAATCAATTTCGTTTCTGTTTTTCTGATATTTATCGTCTCCATTGTAATCTAAAAACAACAATATCAAGAAGGAAGTTTAGTAGAGTGTGAACAATAACAAGAAGGAAGTTTAGTAGAGTGTGAACAATAACAAATAGGGGAGTGTTGCAGAGTGTGAACAATAACAAGAAGGAAGTTTAGTAGAGTGTGACCAATAACAAGAATGAAGTTTAGTAGAGTGTAAACAATAACAAATAGGGGACTGTAAAATAGTGTGAACAATAACAAGAAGGACGTTTAGTAGAGTGTGAACAATAACAAATAGGGGAGTGCAGCAGAGAGTGAACAATAACAAGAAGGAAGTGTAGTAGAGTGTGAACAATAACAAGAAGGAATTTTAGTAGAGTGTTAACAATAACAAATAGGGGAGTGCAGTAGAGTGTGAACAATAACAAATAGGGGAGTGTTGCAGAGTGTGAACAATAACAAGAAGGAAGTTTAGTAGAGTGTGAACAATTACAAATAGGGGAGTGTTGCAGAGTGTGAACAATAACAAGAAGGAAGTTTAGTAGAGTGTGAACAATAACAAGAAGGAAGTTCAGTAGAGTGTAAACAATAACAAACATGGGAGTGCAACAGAGCGTGAACAATAAAAAGAAAGACGTTTAGTAGAGTGTGAAGAATAACAAGAAGGAAGTTTAGTAGAGTGTGAACAATGACAGATAGGGGGCGTAGCAGAGTGTGAACAATAGCAAGAAGGGAGTTTAGTAGAGTGTGAACAAAAACAAGAAGGACGTTGAGTAGAGTGTGAAGAATAACAAGAAAGAAGTTTAGTGGAGTGTGAACAATAACAAGAAATGAAATGAAATGAATGCTGATGAGATTTTATAGGGTTTAAGTTTAACAGAGGGGGAATACTGGACAATGGGGCTTTCTCTTAAATTGAGAGGTACTTAATGTACCTCCGTGCAATGCTTCGAATTACAGTACTCCAAAGACTTATCATGGGTGGTCGTTTGACCAACTCTGTACAACTGATTAGATACTGTTATAAACAAACAACAAAAATTTGATTAAAACAATTCTCATAAGCCGCTGCATTGGTCAAATAAAATTGCAAATAATTCCCTCCCTTTAGTAAAACGTATATAAAACGTTACTATTTGCAATTGTATACTCAAAATGAAATGAAGTGAATGGAGTTTTACGTCCTACTTTTCTGCACCATGTGGGCTAATGAAGACGGACAACGCCATACTGGGTACAATGAGGGAAATTTTGCCAGGGCAGCGGCACTAGCCTTCTCTTTTTCGATTTCCGGTTGTCGAGGGATCTTTAACGTGCACAGCCTGTAGCACACGGGGCCTCGGTTTATTGTCCCATCCGAACGACTAGACGCTTTTTTCATGTCAGCCCTCCCACCTGCATCAATGACA